TTTCTTTTTAGCGCAAAAAGTGGGGGCGGGGGCGCAAAAAAGTGGTGGGGCCGCGGCCCTACCAGCCCCTCCCCCTCCGCGGTCCCTGTTTATACACTGGTTCTTCAATAGGCTAGTCTGAGTATCAGGCTTTTCTAAGAGGCTACGAGAGAGGCGATTTTCGCTTCTCTTTTCCCCGTTTTCCTCCAGAAAGGCTGTTAATAGACCTTTACTTGGCCTTTACCAACTTCCAAAAACCCTCGCTTTCAAAACGAGGCCAAGAACAGAAACATACCTCATTATAAAAATGATTTCTTTAAATGATAATTTAGAAAGCTTATTTCACATCTACGTTTTTTCACCTGACGTAACCCGTAAATGAGCTGGGGACTTTTCAAATAATCGAACCTTAGCTACCAACAGTAAAAGTGAAAAATCCTTCGGGTAAACTTTAATATATATATGAAAGCATCAGTCGAATAAATACGGAATAAAAAGTTTACTTCTTGCTAAAAAATAGAAGCGACTTCTCAACCACATGATTTATTTCAAGTGACGCTATTATAATGAAATACTTAAGAAGCAAGTAGTTCTGAGGATTTCAACGGGATTTGCACCTATGATCTTCCAGGACATCTATGAGAGACTCGTGGAGCGATATGCCATACAACTAGACTGATGTGTGTATTCAAAATAGTGGCAGTCTTTTGCTACTTTTGATATATAATAATCATTCACGCCTATCACTGAACCTGTAATAGCAGCACAATTGGCATTCTTAAGAATATAGTTGTATGACCGAGCACGGCAAGAAGAGTCTTTCATACCTCAATGGTAGTAAGGGCATCCAACCAGTTGAATTCTTCTGTACAATTTGAAGAGGGTTTAAATTTAAAACGCCTTTAGACCGACTTTTGTACACTATTAAAATAAAACTTTGGGTTTGACCCCAACCCTGTTCACTAAGTAGCCTCTTCTCTTAAACAGAGTTACTTGATGAGCGCTTTAGCTCAGAAAACAGCTAAACTTCCCTATTTATAAGAGAACTCTAGTCAGAGGGGTAAAATTCTAATGGAAATGAGCTAACGAATAACACAAAGACGCTGTAATGATTGATAGGCAAGCTCATTTCTAAGGAAACCAGAATGACAGTAATGATATATTCGAAAAGAGTTTAGAATTTGCCGACATTCTAAAGATCTCAAGACCGTTTCATAAACCAGGTTCATAATCAACAACAACAACTTTATTGACTTTATCTTCGACATGAAGATTTCAGTACCAGATTAGTCAATACAATGACAAATGAAACAAAGTAAAATAAAACTTAAGTAAGAAAGAAAGTAACCACAACTATATATTGAATATTATCATAAAAGAAATATTACTTGGCTATGTACGGCTTCTACGCTACTCGTATGGTAAGAAAGTTTAATTAGAGTTCGGATTTACAACAATTTAGAATATTTTCAATATAAGAGGCACTAAGATTTATGATGTTTTCATCGCACACGGTCGCACATAGACATGATATATAAAAATAGTGCCTTGCAAGACATATTCGTAAAATTACTGTTTATCGAGTATAGGCTCTCCAAGAAGATACCCCTATATGAGAAAGTGATGAGTGAGTACATTTCAACAAATAGTGGAATTCATCACCAATTTCGGATCTATAACAAAGGGGGCAAAGCCTCTCAACTCTGGGCATCTTCTTGTAGCGCCCAGATTCAATAGGTAGCAAGTGGCAAGAAATCTGCATTTTGGTTACTGTCACTCTTGTCTTAACGTTCTTTATTAAATCAAGATAAGATAAATGCTGTAAGAGGACCAACTCAGAATAAAGCCCTAATTCTAAATTCTAGTAAGCACTCACCCATTCATTGCTGTCAGTTTTGCGTTTAAAAACTTAAAGATCAGCCCTAGCAGGTATGACAGGGCAGGGCAGGGCAGGGCAGAGGATTGAGAAACGCCCCATTCAAAACGGGGCTCAGAATACAATTTCGTACATCACCTGATTTGTTAAGTCTTATCAGCCATTAATGTGGGTCTTTCAACATATAAAAATTCAGCACGACAACGAGTCTTAGAGGGCACAAACATGTTTATTCATTTTCTTTGCTTATCTCCTTTAAGACTCGCCATTATGCTGAATTGTTTTGAAACTTTCCGCTAAACACTCTCACTACAGTAATCAATAAAACATTGGAATGGTGAATGATCTAAGGCAAATAAAAAACAGCTTAAAAGTAATACCGTAAGAATCGTTTTGTCGCAAAGCTGGGACACCCAACGACGATTTTCTGTAAATATCTGTTCGGAGCGGAGTTTTTCACATTTCCCTCCCTAGGTTAGGCTTTTTTCGTAGAAAAAAGGAAACCTAAAATTATTTTCGGATCCAAAAATGTGATGGAGAGAGGAATCAGAAAAATTCTCACTTTCGTAATACGTTACTTGCAACTAACATTTTCGAGAAAATAATACAGAAGCCCTTGCAATTTCGAAAAGACTCAAGCACCCCTAACATGACCGAGCAGATATAGAATGTATTTCTAGAGATGTAAAAGCACTCTGGATTGCCTAAAAGGTGTTTTCAATGTATTTAGGAAGAAACCATCGTTGGGTGCCCCTCGCAAAGAGCACTTAACTCCAGAGAACGCTTGCGTCCCTTTTCTTAGCTTAGATATCTGTTTAGCTATTTGGCATTTCATCACGTTCGTCAAGATCCGTACCTTTACAAAGTTTATCAAACCAAAGTTATACTCGTGTTCATGTAAGGCATGTAAGTAATTGAGCTTATTTACAGCAAGCGTAGGCACAGGATTATAACGAGTAGCAGACGTCACGTGGAACGAGAGAAGTCCTGACTAACATAGTAGACGTAGGTTCATAAGGTCTATACAACTTTGACGTCTCCACTTTGAGTACTACTAACTGGTTCTGCCTACGCCTTCCCCCCCTCCCCCCTTGTCCTTGTGCTCCGCGCTCAGCTCATGCTTACCTTCGCCTGTAACGTATCCAAATGGCGCCTGCTTTAAAAAGTACAATTATCACCTGTTCTCTTTGCGGGTCTCAGACAAGACTACTTCATTGAGATTTTGGGTATATACATTTATGTACAGCTGTGACAGTAGTTGCCAACTTAAACGACATGTTTCCTCTCAGTTTACAAGTTTTTTGTTTGCGTTGCACCCTCGCCATCTTTTGAACTGCTCTTATCAAATGCACCTGCAAATAGAAAAACTAATCATCACGGTTCCCTTTCGTATGTATTATTTCCACGTTTATTTTAGCCATCGATCAACATGCTTCTGTTGCTCGTTTTGCTAATTGTTTCACCTAAATATCTCTAACACAGATTTTTTCAAACTAAAACAAATAGCAAATCCTTTACACTTTGAGGATATTATTTATAGGGCAAAAATTCATTAAAGTCGTATTGTATCACTTTCAGCTTAAATGCGATTCTTATAATATTCGCACTGCACACCTATTGTTCCCGGCGACACGGGGAACTAAGTTATGAGAGGCAAACCGCGACTGCCAGGACAATAGGCATGCCGAATAACCAGGTATGCGATGTCAACCATCACCAGGAGAGGTGGGAGGGGGGAAAATTCTAAGTCACTTCCACTGAACCCCGTTGAACTAGCCAAGAAGCGGGCAAAAAAAGCAATTTTAACCAAGGGCCGCAATACACCCTGACATCAGCGCAAAGGCCCAACACGACGGAAGTTACTTAATTCCCGCGTCACGGGCCAATTGTGTATGCAGTGAGGAAATTTTACTTTATTTTAATTTTCTTGGTTTGCTGTTTGTATACTGATTAGATTATATCTTGAAGTAGGAGATTGATATCAAGCCAACCATGCTTTACCTTGCAGCCCGAGCAGCCCGGCCAATGGTTGCTCAAAATATCAGCCATCTCCTTTGGTACAAAATCGCGACCACGAAGGGAAGTAAAGCGAAACGTATTGTAAAACCCAATTGAATCGAATGAAATACTTTCTTGGGGGAATATTAAATCTTGCGACTTCTCCGCGAAACAAGCATCATAAACGAGACTATTGATGACAAAAACCCTCCTTTTATGAACACACGAAAACGACAAGGGAGTTGCCTTTAGCTCATTTGCCAGAAAAATATCTGCATAAAAGAGAAGTTGGAAAATTGAATGCTCCTGCAGCTGCTTGGGCTAGATTAAGTGCCCAAGGAATCTTCCCGTCTGCTTTTAAACTCTGGCCCATCGGTAATTAGTTCTTATACCCTCTAAGCTGTCTCTGGTTCCCTGAGGATGAATCTGTTTTAAGACTAAAAAATACTTGCAGCGTTTTTATAGCCTGTTCCAGGCTCCCAGATAGTAGGGATGACGCGGTGATATGCGTGCAAAAATATGAGGGCGTGACTTAGCCTGAGAAAAGGAGGGCGGTGGCGTTTATTTTCCTTATCGCGCTTTCTCAATTTGGAACTGGCTGGCCTGGAAAAAGCTACGTTTTTGTCTTTCATCAGGTACACCCCCAAGAAAAAGTGTGTTGACACCTATTTCTCTTCTCTATGACTCAAATTGTTTTCGTATGTTTTTTTTTGAATCTCAACTATCGTTTTTTACTTTTGCATTTTAGTTGGTTATCGGAGCATGCTTTACTAAATATTCCATGAAAATCGAAAAATAAAATTCGACCTTCTCTCCAGTTGCCTCACTTCCATGAACAGGGTTCGAAAGGACAATAAAGAAAGAAACTAACAAAACTCAGTATAACTCCTTTAACAATATTTTCAAAATATTGCGTTGTCACGAACATTCATTTCACATATTTTGAATAAAAATGGCTAGAAAAACCTAAAATTGACATCAAATACAAACCTTTGAACGCTACATCATCTCCAATCAGCATAAAGGGTGCCCACTGCATGACGTCAGAAAAGTGATTCTCTCTCATCGACTTCATGGCCTGGTGAAGAGATTCACTTGCACTTTCACCATGAACAAGGTGCTCGTAAAAACGATTCATAAACCACATGGTAGCTTCGTCCTCTACAGCCCACAGTGCCGCCAACACGGCGCGTGCACCCGATGCTAGAAATGCTCGAGCGATTCCAACAACTCCCTCAGCCCTTATCTGACCACTTGCACTATGACAGCAGCTAAGGACAACCAGTTTGGCTGTTAGTCGAACTTGTGAAATTTCAGCCATCGTCAATAAGTAGTCTTCTTCGTTTGGAGTTCCGCAGGAGCTTATAGGGGAAAGAGCTATTTCTCCACGTTCAGCATAACCATGAGCAGCGAAGTGAATGAGACTTACTGAATGCATGCTCTTCAGGACTGCTTGCTTAGTTGCATCCGTTCCAAGCAACGGTTGAACACCGAGCAGTTGCCCAATCATCTCTGCTTCCTTTCTGGCCCAAGGCAATGAGTTTAACTGTAGAAGTTTTCCTTGGTAGTATACGTCACTAACCTCTGACTCTCCTACGATCAGTGCACCGGTTTTACTATGGTACTCTACTGGACTGAGCTGAATCAACTTAAGAGTGGTCAAGGAAGGGACAATACGAATCCTGAAAGTATCCGATAAATACTTTCCATTATCATCCATTAAAGCAGCAAAAGGAATTGGATACAACAAGTTATCCGGTACAATAATGATTTCTGATTCTTGGAGTAAGTCAGCTACAGGAGTGACTATCATGTTGTAACCATCAGCAAGGGTTAAAGGTTGAGAGTCGTGATTTTTGTCTTCCTCTTCTTCTATAAGACGCAAAGATTCGAAGCTGTCACTCTGAAATGGTTTGCAAGGTAGCGGGGAACTTACACATGAAAACAATGATCGATCTTCGTATTGGTCTTGACGTAAATCAAGAGAGCCACCAAATGTCTGATTTCCAAACACTTTATCTGCACTTTCTTGAAGTGTCTTTTGTCGAAAATCTATTATTTTGTTTGGCTTGAGGATCCAAAAACACATATTATCATCGAAGCAGGAAACAAAAAGACAAGAACTAAGTGCATTTTTGTTCATGATGTTCTCAATACCAATCCATGACTGTGGGTTGACTGATACCCCTTTATCCACAGAGTACTTTTCTGACAATACGTCTGTCAGTGCTCTGGACCTTCCAAGCTCGGCAACGTACAGAGCTTCATAATAACTGCCTGTAGCAATCAACAACCTACAAAGAAGAAGGTAAGGGGACACATGCTGATCAAAAAAAGAAATTTTGAATTGATCTTTCACTCTTAAAAAATCATGCATTTCTTCGCACTTCTGAATGCTCTCATAAAGATTTCGCAGAAGTTCAGTTGTGATTCCTCCTGCCACTAACGCGTTTAAAGCAATGGTAAGGTGGCTGTTAAACTGCATTTCAATGTCCCCTATTTCGTAACTTATCTCCAGTGCGTTATTAGCAAATTCTTGACTCTTCGCATTAAGCTGAAGTTCTCGACAAAGTTTTCCCAGCTTTAAGTTTAAAGCTCCAACACCAGCTTTGTCACCGATTTCTTTACAGATCACTAGTGCCTTTTGAAGGTATTCTTCAGCCTTGGTATATTGACCAACAGATTGAAACACAGTTCCTAGATTTCCGTAATCTGCAGCTTCTCCTTTTCTGTCACCGATTTCTTTCCTGATCACTAGTGCTTTTTGAAGGTATTCTTCAGCCTTGGTATATTGACCAACAGATAAAAACACAGTTCCTAGATTTCCGTAATCTGCAGCTTCTCCTTCTTTGTCACCGATTTCTTTCCTTATCACTAGTGCTTTTTGAAGGTATTCTTCAGCCTTGGTATATTGACCAACAGATAAAAACACCGTTCCTAGATTTCCGTAATCTGTAGCTTCTCCTTCTTTTTCACCAATTTCTTTGCTGATCACTAGTGCTTTATGAAGGTATTCTTCAGCCTTGGTATATTGACCAACAGCACGAAACACAGTTCCTAGATTTCCGTAATCTGTAGCTTCTCCTGTTCTGTCACCGATTTCTTTCTTGATCACTAGTGCTTTTTGAAGGTATTCTTCAGCCTTGGTATATTGACCAACAGATTTAAAGACAGTTCCTAGATTTCCGTAATCTGTAGCTTCTCCTTTTCTGTCACCGATTTCTTTCCTGATCACTAGTGCTTTTTGATGGTATTCTTCAGCCTTGGTATATTGACCAACAGAAAGAAACACTGTTCCTAGACTTCCGTAAGCTGTAGCTTCTTGTTTTCTGTCACCGATTTCTTTCCTGATCACTAGTGCTTTATGAAGGTATTCTTCAGCCTTGGTATATTGACCAACAGATTGAAACACAGCTCCTAGATTTCCGTAATCTGCAGCTTCTCCTTTTCTGTCACCGATTTCTTTCCTGATCACCAGTGCTTTTTGAAGGTATTCTTCAGCCTTGGTATATTGACCAACAGAAAGAAACACTGTTCCTAGATTTCCGTAAGCTGTAGCTTCTCCTCCTTTGTCACCGATTTCTTTCCTGATCACTAGTGCTTTTTGTTGGTATTCTTCAGCCTTGGTATATTGACCAAAAGATCCAAAGACAGTTCCTAGATTTCCGTAATCTGCAGCTTCTCCTTTTCTGTCACCGATTTCTTTCCTGATCACTAGTGCTTTTTGAAGGTATTCTTCAGCCTTGGTATATTGACCAACAGACAGAAACACTGTTCCTAGATTTCCGTAATCTGTAGTTTCTCCTTTTCTGTCACCGATTTCTTTCCTGATCACTAGTGCTTTTTGAAGGTATTCTTCAGCCTTGGTATATTGACCAACAGATTGAAACACAGCTCCTAGATTTCCGTAATTTGCAGCTTCTCCTTTTCTGTCACCGATTTCTTTCCTGATCACTAGTGCTTTTTGAAGGTATTCTTCAGCCTTGGTATATTGACCAACAGAAAGAAACACTGTTCCTAGATTTCCGTAAGCTGTAGCTTCTCCTTCTTTGTCACCGATTTCTTTCCTGATCACTAGTGCTTTTTGTTGGTATTCTTCAGCCTTGGTATATTGACCAACAGATCCAAAGACAGTTCCTAGATTTCCGTAATCTGCAGCTTCTCCTTTTCTGTCACCGATTTCTTTCCTGATCACTAGTGCTTTTTGAAGGTATTCTTCAGCTTTGGTATATTGACCAACAGATTTGAACACAGTTCCTAGATTTCCGTAATCTGCAGCTTCTCCTTCTTTGTCACCGATTTCTTTCCTTATCACTAGTGCTTTTTGAATGTATCCTTCAGCCTTGGTATATTGACCAACAGAAAAAAACACTGTTCCTAGATTTCCGTAATCTGTAGCTTCTCCTTCTTTGTCACCGATTTCTTTCCTGATCACTAGTGCTTTTTGAAGGTATTCTTCAGCCTTGGTATATTGACCAACAGATTGAAACACAGTTCCTAGATTTCCGTAACATATTCCAACTCCGCGATTGTTTCCAGCCTGAATCATGATGCCGAGTGCCTTCTCGTAAAACTGTATTGCTTCCTTGTATTTGCTTATTTGATAGTAGATGTTCGCTATTCCAAGTATTATCATCCCTTCTTCTTCTTTTCGGCCGATATTGTGTAGTGTCACATGAAGCTTTTTACCACATTCTACCGCACGGGTGTGATCTTTGATAAGAGTATAGCCATCAAAAAGTTTATGGTATACATAGATAACAAGTGGTGTGGTAAGTTCTTTGATTGTCTCTAGGGCTTTACCGTTAAGGAGCACCAAACATTCGTTAAAGATGTCCACTGCTTGTATAATACGTCCACTTTTGAAAAGAAAAGTTGCAACGACTGCACCAATATGAATGGTCTGTAGAATCTCCGAGATGTTGTCCATGACGCTTTTTTCTGAACCTTGAGAAAAAAAATATTTTAAGAGTAAGAAAGTGGAAACAAGATTCTTAACGTCTTTTGACAGAACAGCTAACTTTCTTGGGCAAAATAATCAAGCTTCCATGCAGGATTTACTAAGGCAGGTGACGATTATAAGTGTAGGATTTCTTTGGCCTAGTATTTTATACTTGTTGAATCTGCAAATGTAGAATATCTATAAAAACAAATAGTTTTACAGACTTATTTGTAACGTACTGTTTACCTTCATACACCATACTGTTAAAAATTATGTAAAATAAAACTATTTCAGTAACATGCTTTGAAAATCGCGAACCCAGGTACTCACTTAATCCTGAATTATTCCCCACTCTGTTTGATATCTTTACTTAAATATCCAGTCTAACTTTTGTTTGTAATCTTTGCCATTACATCGATCTTATATAGTGCTTTATAATTTGTGTCAGCTCCTTAATTTTAGTATTGACCTTTTTCTCGATCTTTATCTCCGGTATCGCAGATGTCAGGCTTCAAATCCTGGTAAGCCTGAATTTTTCGTTTTTGTCAGGCTTTCTTTCCGTACGTGCATAAAGTTGCGTCTTTAACAGCGAGGATCTTCTCCATATTTAAACTCTTTGAAGTTCAACATGAGGGCAAAGAAATCTGTCAGGAAAGTAAAGAAAGTGAATTCGAAAAACGTCTTTCCTTGGCTGCAGAGTTCGTATGCAGCGGTGAAGTGACAAAACAAGCCAGAAGTTCTTAGCGACCAAACAATACCTTGGCATCCAATTGAGATTACAGCGGAACATCGATACAACGAAGGCCTAAGGGACTAGTAAAACGCGTTCGCTTTATTAAGGTTCCACTGAGGTCTTCAACACCGATTTATTGTCTGATCAGGACAGCAAAGCTGTTCATAAAAGGGCAGATGTGATTAAACTTAAAGGTACTGTGCAGGCGTGTTTTATTGAGCTCCACACTAGTAGTGAAATTTTGAGTGAAATTTTGATAATGATTCGAAAGTCAAATTCAAATCCCAGTTGACCTTTAATTTAAAATAATACCATGAGTGCGTATTTTGATTTAAATACACACTGCCCACCTAGACTAGCCTTTGCTATTTGTGGGCAGTTAGAAAACAGAATTGTAAATATCTGAATAAAGCAATAAATGAATGAAATGAAATGAAATGAATGGATGCAATTTGATTAAAGGCAAAGGCAGCGCTTATTACGCTGCTATAAGATATAAAATTGTGATTATTCAGATTGAGAGTTATTCAGCCAAACCGCAAAAAAGTCGATAGATTTACTGCTTGAAATATAAATGTTGGTAAGTGAATTTATAACAAATTCATATACGTTATGATTAAGTACCGCTCAGTATCTACTCGCAGCACTTCATGACTTTAAAAGACATCGCACAGAATGGCTATTGTTCTCGGGACATTTACTTACAGTCGAGCTGGAAGCATAGGTCTGTAACATTGTAGGTGAAGCGTAAACTGAATCACTCTCATTGGTGGAATTCTGCGCGGTCTTTGTAACCTCTAGTAATAAGCAAAAGAAGCCCTCGTTCGAAGTCCTGGTTCGAATCCTAGCTCGAATCCATCCTCGAGTTTTACGCTTTGTATTTAGGTATACTCAAGTATATGCCACGGAAACACTTGAATTCTGCGCAATAACTCTCTTCGGAAATATTGCCGCGTTCTACAGTCTCTTTACTTTTCAGAATAGACGAATCTGCCAACTCTTTACAAATGTTTCTGATTTTGTCAGCAATTATACTTGTTTATAATTTTCAGGTTACTGATTCAGGAAATAACAAATAATCTCTACAAATTGTGTTCCCATCATCTCATAATATATTTTTTATACATACAAAAGTTAAGTAACCTATAACGAAACTAAGAAGGATAACTTCTTCTTCAAGCAATTATGTAGTTTTTGCTTGTTAGTCAGAAAAATATATCGTCCCTTTTCTGAACTAGTCATGCCAAAGACAAGGCAGACTAGTTACCTCTTGCGAGTGAAGTTTGTCGCGCCTGACGTGCTAGCAAACCGCCACAGGCTGTTTTGCTCTGAAAGACCAGTAAATTCAAGGAGTCCCTTGTTAAATTTAGATGTCGAGCTACTTCGTTGACACTGTTAACAGGGAAAATTAAAGACTCGCATGTCACCATGGTAAAGAAAAGCTACACAAATAAGGGCCAGAGTGTTTACAAGGAGAGAGGGTTACCCTTGTGCTGTGGGAAACGCGTTAAATTCACGAAAAAAAGGGAAAATATTATCATCGTAGACAGAAAATAACTTTTTATTTTTTTAGATGTTTATAATTAAGCTCAGAAACTGATTAATAGCGTTCAAATTAGCACGATTACCAGGGACCGCGGAGCAAGGTGAAAAGTGGGAGGGCTGACAATTGAAAATGATTTTTTCATATTGAAAATCGAAAAAAGGAATAAAATCATAGTATTTGATTTGTTTCTGTTGCGTGACTTTGCATACTTTATTGATCACTAGTGCTTTTTGAAGGTATTCTTCAGCTTTGGTATATTGACCAACAGATTTGAACACAGTTCCTAGATTTCCGTAATCTGCAGCTTCTCCTTCTTTGTCACCGATTTCTTTCCTTATCACTAGTGCTTTTTTAATGTATCCTTCAGCCTTGGTATATTGACCAACAGACCTAAACACAGTTCCTAGATTTGCGTAAGCTGATGCTTCTCCTTTTTTGTCACCGATTTCTATCGTGATCCCTATTGCTTTTTGAAGGTATTGTTCAGCCTTGGTATATTGACCAACAGAAAGAAACACAGTTCCTAGATTTCCATAATCTGCAGCTTCTCCTTCTTTGTCACCGATTTCTTTCCTGATCACTAGTGCTTTTTGAAGGTATTCTTCAGCCTTGGTATATTGACCAACATACCTAAACACAGTTCCTAGATTTCCGTAACATATTCCAACTCCGCGATTGTTTCCAGCCTGAATCATGATGTCGAGTGCCTTCTCGTAAAACTGTTTTGCTTCCTTGTATTTGCTTATTTGATAGTAGATGTTCGCTATTCCAAGTAATATCATCCCTTCTTCTTCTTTTTGGCCAGTATTGTGTAGTGTCACGTGAAGCTTTTTACCACATTCTACCGCACGGGTGTGATCGTAGATAAGAGTGTAGCCAAGAAAAAGTTTACGGTATACATAGACAACAAGTTTTGTGGTAAGTTCTTTGCTTGTCTCTAGGGCTTTATCGTTAAGGAGCACCAAACATTCGTTAAAGATGTCCACTGCTTTTATAATACGTCCATTGTTGAAAAGAAAAGTTGCAACGACTGCACCAATATGAATGGTCTGTAGAATCTCCGAGATGTTGTCCATGACGCTTTTTTCTGAAACTTGAGAAAAAAATATTTTAAGAGTAAGAAAGTGGAAACAAGATTCTTAACGTCTTTTGACAGAACGGTTAAACTTCTGGGGCAATATAATCAAGCTTCCATGCAAGATTTACTAAGGTAGGTCACGATTATAAGTGTTGGATTTGTTTAGCCTTGTATTCTGTACTTGCTGAATCTGCAAATGTAGAATACTGATCTACAGAAATAAATAGTTTTACAGACTAGTTTGTAACGTACTGTTTACCATCATACACCTTACCGTTAAAAATTCTGCAAAATAAAACTATTTCAGTCGCATAATCCTGACTCATTCCCCACTCTGTTTGATATCTTTACTTAAAAATACCCAGTCTAACTTTTGTTTGTAATATTTGCCATTACATCTTATATAGTGCTTTATAATTGTTGCCGGCTCATTAATTTTAGTATTGACCTTTTCCTCGCTCTTTATGTCCGGTATCGCATAGGTCAGGGTCCAAATCCTGGTAAGCCAGTTTTCTTATTTTTTAGTTCAATAACCACACAGCAGTTCAATAAGTACACAACAGATCATTAACCACACCAGTAGTTCCATGACCACACATTAGTTCATTGAGCGTAAACTAATGTAGCTGCGGGAAAAATAGCCACAAATACGTTTACTTAGTTATTGTTGAATAAGAATGCGTAGCATTAAGTAAGTGGTAAATACTCATTTAACTACGGTACGAGAACTAAAATTGATAAATATATAGCCATGTTACACTGTTATTAAGTTCTAGTGAGCTCACTAATATATACAGGAACATAGACCTATGTTAATTTAAAAATTTTAGTCTGCTCAGAAGGTGTGTCATTCTCATCAGGGGCACAGTGAACAGACCTGGAAAGAGAGTCAGCGCCGAAAAGGGAAAGCCAACTCGGTCCGGAGAAAACTAAAACTAAATAACCCGAACAAAGAGCGCGTTAATAAAGCAGAAAAAAATAACAGTTAACGGTGGATGAAACCTTGTTTTTTGACTTTGTTTCCGCACGTTTCAAACCGTGGTACCACAGCTGGCCCTACGTGCCTGAATCGGCTACCATCAATCCATGTTTAAAAATAGTTATTTTTTACCGTACAAGTCCTGAACTTCCAACTTTCATGATTGTTTCAAATTTGAAAGGCCGCTGGATGCAATAGTTGCTTGAAGGCAAAGGCAGCGCTTATTACGCTGCTATAGGATATATAATTGTGATTATTAGAGTTATTCAAGTGTAAACCGCAAAAATCTCGATAGATTTACTGCTTGAAATATAAATGTTGGTAAGTGAATTTATAACAAATTCATATAAATTATGATTACGTACCGCTCAGGGTCTACTCGCAGAAATTCACTTTAATAGACATCGCACAGAATGGCTATTATCATTCGAAGCAAATTTTTCTTCTTTTTTCATTGGCCGAGAGCCCGCCACGTGACCTGTGAATAACTGCCTACAAATCATGGTCTGCTCTGATGTGCAATGCCGTCCAACAGTGTTTGGCTGCAAATAATATTCTGCTCATGCGTAAAGGAAACCGTGCTTTTCTCCTTCTTGCGATCGCTCTGGCGCGAAAATGGCAGATCACTTCGCTTCCCAAGGATATTCATTTAAAAAAACAAACTCGGTGATCGAATGATAAAACAATTATTGAACTCGGTTATCGCAAAATATCGTGATTTGCCAGTGTCTCACAGATCAATTATTTGCCTCAGCCTTCGGCTTCGGCAAATAATCTGCTCTCCACAGACAAATAACGATATTTTGCTCAACCTCGTCCAATAATTGTTAATTGTTCTCGGGACATTTACTTACAGTCGAGCTAGAAGCATAGGTCTGTAATATTGCATTTGAAGCGTAAACTGAATCGCTCTCATTGGTGGAATTCTGCGCGGTCTTTGGAACCTCTAGTAATAAGCAAAAAAAAGCCCTCGTTTGAAGTCCGAATCCTAGCTCGAATCCATCCTCGAGTTTTACGCTTTTGTATTTAGGTATACTCAAGTATATGCCACGGAAACACTTGAATTCTGCGCAATAACTGAAAGCTCTCTTGAAATATTGCCTGCGTTCTACAGTCGTTTTACTTTTCAGAATAGACGAATCTGCCAACTCTTTACAAACGTTTCAGATTCTGTCAGCAATTATAATTGTTTATAATTTCCACATTACTGATTCAGGAAATAAAAAATAATCTCTACAAATTGTGTTCCCATCATCTCATACATATTTGCTTTTAAACATTTAAAAGTTAAGTAACCCATAACGAAACTAAAAAGAATAACTTCTTCAAGCAATTATGTAGTATTTGCTTTGTTAGGTCAGAAAAAATATATCCCTTTCCTGAACTAGTCAAAGACTAGCCAGACTACTTACCTCTGGCGAGTGACGAGACCTTTGTCGCGCCTGACGAGCTAGCAAACCATCAAAGGCTGTTTTGCTCTGAAAGATCAGTAAAATCAAGGAGTCCCTTGTAAAATACAGATGTCTAGCTACTTCGTTGACACTGTTAATAACCGGAAAAATTAAACACTCGCATGCCACCACGGTAAAGAAAAGCTGAAACTGAAACAAAAGACAAATTCATCACTTCCTGCCGCTTAACACACGAAGCGGAACTTATTATGTCGCTTCAGTACCGCTTAACACGCGAAGCTGAATTTATAAGATCTCCGCGAATGCAGAAAAGGCAAAACCATCTTGCTCCCATAATAATAAGAGTTATATATCAATTATAGGTGACACGAAAAGCGAGTAACAATGCTGACATACAATGTATTCTAAACTGTCATGAAAAGAGAGACACAAGAGATCAAAATTGGTCATGAAGAGAACAGGGAGAATCAACCAACTGCATATAGCCAGTAAGCAAAGCGTTGCATGAATACTGTAGGAAAAAAAACAGTCACTTTTTGTTGCTCAACCTGTAAAATAGATGAACTTAAAAGATTCACAACTATCAGTGAGAATAAAAAACGTTTTTTGTATCTTCCGACACTTTGAGTTCAAAATATCGCTATGAAACCGTAAACCCAAGCAAAGTTTTTTCCAACTCGCTGAACTTTGAATTAAATAGTTTAAATTAAGCAGGCACTGAATGCTCTTAATGCGTTTTAAAGCCGTAGCCATTGTCCTTGCAATCAAGTAAAAGTTCCCAAAATCTTAATTTGATGAAGAGTCTACCAGTATTTAGAAATCGCAACGAAAGAAATCTTAATTTGCTTTACCGGCTGATCATGAACAAGAAATCGTTTCGCTTTCCGAGAAGAAGTAAAGAAACAAATAACTCTCTCTTCTAATTTCCTAGTTGGCAACACAAGAACTGAAAATCAATTTCGAGTTTTAAGCTAGGAAATGTAAATGGCTAAGTCAACGTACTCACCAAGAAATCTGTCTCAACAGAAGTACCGAAAGGAAATTGAAAATTTGAAAACCCTGGGCTGAGAAATTAAACCTCGTGTGTCTATGATTCCCCGAAAGAAACACCCTCGCCTTTGAAATAACATAAGTGACGTGTTGCGAGGCAGCATGTCTACTGATGAATTTTGCACAATTTGTTGGAAGGAGGAAATATTGCCTAGAAATCTCTAGAACTTGGGAAAGGCTAACCTGTTGAAGATCCTCGAGCGCCGCCTGAAGATAGAAATTGCGGGAACTTATTGCCCGCAAGCGAATATTGAGAATTCTTTTTTTTTTTTTACTAACTTACCCACGATTTTCGGCGGTTGAGTTTTGCAAATTATATTACCAAGATAAAATGATTATTGTTAAGAAAGGTTTCCTTAAAATTTCTGTACAAGAAAAACGTCCACTAGAATCCTCTAATAAAAGTATGAACAAACATAGTTTTAAGGGCGGCTACAAATTTACCAAACATGCTTTCTTTTACTACCTAGCTAGCGTATTCTTTTGCGCCTTCTTGACTACTGTGCTACGGCTTAAAAACCAAGGACTTTCCCTTAACAGGGTGAGTTTGAAATTATGAAAATTCATAATTGATTTCGATGCTAAGGGGGAAAATAACGAAATAAATGAATTGTCCATCATCGAATCTCAATGCGACATATTTCCTTTTGTTTTTCTCAACCTCTAAGCCAGTTATGAATTTTAATAATTCGATACTGGTCTAAAATGGACGCCAAAAGTGGACGTCGATACAGGAAAACTTCACATAAATGGCCCCTAGATGTGAATAATAATCAACTATTGAACGAAGTTGGACAAAGTATTATCATGTCTTAAGTGCTAAACAGATAAATTACGGAGAAATGATGCAATCAACATGGAAAGAGATATAGTACAGAGATACTGCAAAATTTTGTTGGAAGTAGCAAATATTGCCTAGAAATCTCCAAAACTTGGGAAAGGCTAACCTGATCCCATATTCTCTATTTAATCTTTTAAGATCGTCGAGCGCGCGTATGAAGATAGAGATTGCGGGTATTTATTGACCACAAGCGAATATAGGGAATTTTTCTTAGTATTAGGGGGGAGTCAAATAACTCACCTTCCTCCGAAGAAGTTTGTGGCGCCTGACTTGTTACGAAGTTGTCAACGGCTGTTTCGCTGTGCAAGGTTAACGAACCCAGTAATCGAATGTAGCGGTGCCAAGATGTATTATAACACTAATACGCACTAAAAACCAAATTTCACCAATATTAGCCCTGCAAAACGAATGACATTTGGAACTGTTTTACTTTCCAGAAAGTGAAGGGGACTAACATGCTCCAATACAAACATTAGAAAAAAACGGAAATGATTTATGTTTGTGACATAATATAGTGGCGGATCCAGGGAAGGAATCCCCTCTCGCTTGCTTGAGGATTAGACCGAGAAATGAGAAGGCGATTAAAGGGACACAGTCAGCTGAAGCACATGCGCATTAGATACCATTTCTTACCTGATTTGCATGTCACAAGACACGCGAGTGAACCAGAAAGTGAAAAAGCATATCCGAAATACTCAAAACAAACCTTGTAGAGT